CCACATTAAATTTACAAACGAAGACTGCAGCTTCTGATTTAAAAAGTAGTGATGAGAGTTAAAGTTTGAACCTTTCGCAACAAGTTGACATACCTGCTCATCCCTTAAAAATTCTTAATACTGATATAAAACTAGCTACACAGGACAGAACAACACAGCAAATGTGTATGCAGGAGCTACATAAAGATAACCATAAATAAAACAAAGCTTATTCAGCAGTTTGTGTTATTAATTGTGGGGATATTTTGCAGCAAGGAGTTTCTTATGTAGAGAATTGATTACCTGATGTTCAGCAAATGTGAGCATTGCAAAAAAGCAACAAGTCTGGATTTTTGGTTGTGTGGAGGTTTTGGAACAAATGTTATTTAAAATGCAATAATGTTGCAAAAACAGTAGTTCCTTTAGCTCACCAAGCCATGAGAGGTTGTAAAAACCTTTAAAAATAATTAAGGTCCATCGGTATAGAATAAGAAGGATTACGCAGCAGAGGAAAACATTTTACACTACATTAATGTATCTGCAAAAAAAACAAAAAACAAAAAGAAAACTTGTTCCAATTGGCTTGCGTGGTGTTGCACTTGTGTAGTCATGGACCACTAATTTGTTCCATGATTGCAAATAGAACAATAAATCTGTAGTTACAGATCCAAAAACCACACACTGCTGCATTGAAACAAGTCAAGATCAACTTTGTTTGATGAAATAAAATTACACACATTTGAACAGACTTCAACAATCTCAACTAATGCATTAAGGGAGAGCAAGCCAACATTTTAACCATCAGAGTGTCAGAGGCCATAAAGGTCAACTAAAGACAAATAACTACCACTGACACTGGCTTTGACAACAAGTGAAGCATGGGGTGGAGATAAATCTTAAAAACATCAAAACAGGATGACACATTTGGTTCTTACGGGTTTCTAGCAAAGGAACAATGTTTAATGTAAGAATATGTTTCTTACATTAAACAGAAACACTGGTGTTTTTTTAATGTCACACATTTTTTGCTTTCAATAAAAGCAAAAAGTGATTTCTATTTGGTCTTTGCTTTCAATGATCACTTTACTGCTTCCTACCTTATAGACAAAAGTCTATAAAATGTTTACATGCATTTTTCATATTCTTTCTCGAAAGAACTGGTCCCTGTTCTTGGTCTTATGCGTTTTAGATGTTTTTGCTGCCTCAACACACCTGAACTTAATGGCATGCTAAAGAAGTTACAATTGTTTGAGACTGGTGTGTTAGAGCAGGGACAGATCTCAAACCTACAGAACAGTGGCCCCTGAGGGTTATGGTCAGGGATTACAGCTGTAATCTGTTTGGAACAGTCCAACATAAATAACATTCTGAGTTCACACAGGCACATTTTTATGATTATTATTATTTTATTCCTATAATATTATTAATTTATTTCAACCACATAAGAACGCTTTGTCCGAATAACGAGACAATGGAGATGACTAAAATGAGCCGTCTGTTCCAGAATCATTTGTGGATAACATTTGTTTTATGAAGTAAACATGACTCATTTTGATACTGTCTAACAGGAGCGTCTCGACGTCCTCTTCCGTCTAATGCCAAGCATTCGAGTGTGTGAAACGTGTAACCAGGAAGGAAACAGTCTCTGTCTCTTTGAACATGTCCCTTTCCAATCAGAAATCAGTCCCGTCCTACACCGTCTTTATCCTTTTACTTGTGATTGTTTGGCTTGAGGCGCGGCCACGTTGCTGAACATAACCTCAGTCAACGACAATATACCAACCCTGAGTGACAATACGCGGCTACATTTTTACGTAAAGCATGCCCGGGTCCCTGTCTCCCTCAGCGGCACAATGGACAACATCTTCCGCCTGTTGTCCTAACGGAGGGGGCGCCAGTCTGTGTGCGCTGCGTCTAAACATGGAGGGGGAAAAAAGCAGGCTAACAAGAAAAGCAGCGAGACTACAACAGGGAGGGACTGAAACATGCGTGTCTGTTACCTTCCAGCGACGCCAAAACTTTCCGGGACACTTTCTACGACCGCTGTTTGGACAGAACAGGGCCAGGCCGCCGCAGCTACTGTCCGCCAGCCGAGCTCAGCCCGCAGCAGCCTTGACAACGCTCAAAGTACCAGGATGTGGGACCTGGACGCTCCAAGGCGTTCTGTGTGCGCGTGCGGAGAGGAACCGCGAAAATTACTGCGTTTTAAATCAGTTTTTGTTTGTTTGTTGTTGTTGTTTTTAAATTAAAATAACCATATGTGAACAAACGGTCATAAATAGTAGGTTTTATCCGACTACTAAATATTGATCTTTTTAACAGTAACTGTACAGTAATCTTCTGGGGCCATTAAAAACACATATTGCCAAAAATCGGCTTGTTCTTGTTGAAAGGGATGACAAAGCTTAGTTTAAGCTTTTAATATTTTTAGTCTTAACTGAATCTCAGAAACTTGAATCTGAGAAAGACATCAGACCCCAGAACACCAGGGGTCTTGTTTACGTAGTTTTGTAGTTGAGAGGGTTTCCTTATTGCCTGTACAAAATTAATCTATGGAGAATTACACAGGGGACAAAATTAAATAAATGAATATATCGTTAGATCACTAATTAAAAGGACCATGAAATAAATAAATGTTTAATTAAATACTGAAATAATTTAATGAGGGCTGAACAGTGGCGCAGTTGGTACCACTGTTGCAAGAAAGTCCAGTGCTCGATTCCCAGCCTGGGTGTCTTTCTGAGTTTGTATGTTCTCCCTGTGCATGCGTGGGTTCTCTCCGGGTACTCCGGCTTCCTCCCAAAAACAGGTAAATTGGTCTCTCTAAATTCTTCCTAGGTTTGTGTGTGTGTTGCAAGGGGTCTGTATGTCTCTCTGTGTTGCCCTGTGACACGCTGGTGACCTGTCCAGGGTGACCCCGCCTCTTGCCCGGAACATTCATTGGAGACAGACACCAGCACCCCTCCTGACCCCACTAGGGTCAAGGGTGTTAGAAAATGGATGTATAATTTAATTAATTTATTAAATGCCATTAAATTACTAAAATATAAACATATAACAGCCAAAGCAGTTATATGTAATGAATGTGTCTTTCATGGTTCCTGTTCATAAAATAATTGTATCTGGGCTATGGCCACTCAAAGTAGAGAGGCAACTGTTGAACTCCTCTTAGCTCCAGCTGAGCTTGGTTCTAGAAAATCAAGGCGAAGTTTCATGAATTGAAATTCTTTGACTTTTATCTGGTAAGTAGTTTGAATAACAATCTCCTGCTTCCATGTCTGCGGACTGTAAAATCTCTCCCACTGGCTCACACAAAAGCTAATGAGAATGAATCCTGCAATTATGTCTGCCAACACAATTTTCAAAAAATGAGGTTAAACTAGTGGAGTTCAACAAGTCAGTATTAGCACCACCCCTCGATTAATTAATTATTATATCTAGTGTATTTTCTATCAAATAAATTAACCATTTAATTGAATACTTATGTTCAATGAAATGGTTAATTGAACATGTGGGACATAAATGTCAAATTATTATATGGGTTATGGAATTTGAGTAAAGAGATTAATTTATTATAGTTTGGAATAAGACAAAAATGTGAAAGAAGTGACGCCCTGAGTACTTTCCAGATGCCCGGTATGTTATTTCTGTTCCTTTTTTTCCTGTTTATTTTTCTGTCTTTATGTAAATTGTGCTACAAAAATAAACCTGCCTTGACATTCATACAAAATCTTTTGTTTTCATCTATGAAATGAAAGTATTCAGTAATAAAAAGGTAACACGTAGGTACAAAATAAAAACTTGTCACCAATTGTCAAAATAAGTGACAACATAGGATAACGCTCATCGTCAGTTATAAGAAGTGTATGAAGAAGGGTGTACATAATTTTTTGATACGGCATCTTAAAGTAAAATATAAATATTAATATATGTATTGTGATGTTTTGGAAAATGTCTGCCTCATTTCTCTTCTGAGACAAACCTCTGGTTTAAGTGAAAATACATTTAGCAAACCTGCCAGAGGCAGGAATCATTGTGGTACTGAATATCTTTACGCGAAATGTTTTGTGACCACACTGAGACAAAAAGTTTGTCTTAATAATTTTTACCAAACCAGTGCTTTTAAAAAGCATATGTAGGTGAAATGTGGAGGATTTAGCTTTTTAAATCCATCATCTGGACCCCTTGTGACAAAGAATTGTGGGATTTTCCTACCCTGCTAAAAAACAACAACTAAACATTCAGTTGAGAAAATGGTGAAACAACCATTGCTGAACTGGATGCCTGAAATGACTCATAGACCAATTCTCCTTTGAGTCTGCTTCCTGTTCTCAGGCCCCGTCTGTTGTTCCTGTGAGTAGTTCTTTTCCACTTTTACCACATCCTTTCTCCATTAGGAGACTCCTGCAAACTATACCTATCAAATGCAATTATCTGTCCTCGGTTGCCATGTTCTTGCAAGGGAAGAGAAACAAAGTCATTGATCTGCATTCTATTGACTGGGCTTCCTTACCAAGATAACTTTTACCAATGAATTGTACTGTATTATATTTACAATATAACTGGACTGTGGTTGAATGCAAATACCTATATGAAATGTACTGGCATCAATTGGGATGATTTTATTATAAATTTCTATATAGCTGAAAATAAAATTGATATGTTTGCACTTTGTAAATTAACTGAATTAAATCGAACTGGACTAGGAAAATAAGGCTATATATCACTGTCAAATTGCACAAGTCCCCATTTAAAACACTTTGTGGTCTGGGGCCCAGGGGTCCAGGTGACATGGAACCGCCTTGTGTTTGAGCATGAGCTAAAGCGTCTCTGCCATCGCGTGTTTATGATAGAACAACAGCAGTTGTATTAGCAGCTTATCAGCATTAGCGTCTGCTGCTCGCTCCGCCCCCCCTCCGGGGTGGGTGTGCGTCGTCGACGCTGTTACTGTCTCTTTAAATTTACCCAGGAGCCCCTTAAGGAGCCCCAGGGGCCCCTAGTCCGGCTCCCCACCCAGAAGACAAGCAAGAACCTTAAAATACATTACTGGAGGCCTAAGCTGAGACGAGTCTCGCTTGAGCACCGCAAAGTGTTTTCGCCGGCGGATTGAGTGAATCCATGAAAAGTTAACTTGGCTCCCGTGCCGGGCGCGTGGGAGAAACCCTGGAGAACACGGGCTCCAGAGCGATGAGCGCCAGCCAGATGCGTGTCGAACGGTGCCGCGCGGCGGAACATGTTCCTGCCGTGACATGCTGTTCATGTGAGAGTGACATGTCCCGCTCCGCCGCTCCGACCCGCTGAGGAGGGAGATAGTACACGAGCTACAACTACACCAACAGCCAGGCCAGTGATGGAAGAGAAAGAGGCAGGGGAGAGCGAGCCAGTGGACCTCCGCTCTTCCGAACAGTCTGAGTTGCTCTCATTAATAATAAGCGGAGAGGAGGAAACGACGCAGGAGGAGAGCGACTTGGGAGGTAAACGGAAAAAAAAATATATGTGCTTTTCTTTTTTTTTTCTTTTAGGGCCACAGCTGAGTGGGTGTGCGTGGTTGTCAGTGACACAGCCATTGTCAGTCAGACAGTTAATCCGTGTCAGGGACAAAGCCGTGGAGCGGCATGGCCCCTCTGTCTCTGTGGCTCCTATAAACAAAGGCTCAACAGCATACAAGCTGGGGAGACTCACTGCTGCCATCTAGAGGAGAGCGACTGCAAGGCAAGACAAGTTTATTGGTATAGCACAGGGGTGCTCAAGTCCAGTCCTCGAGAGCTGCCATCCTGCATCTCTCAGATGCATCCCTGCTTCAACACAGATGAATCAGATGAATGGCTCGTTACCAGGAGTGTTCAGAGCTCCTGTTGGAGTGAGGATGCTTCTAAAAGTTGCAGGACGGTAGCTCTCCAGGACTGGACTTGAGCACCCCTGGTATAGCACATTTCAGCAAGGCGAGCCAAAGTGATTTACACCATGAAGACATAAAACGAGCAGCAAACATTTGCACAATAAAGAGAAGCTATGAAAAGGTAAAATGCAGAGTGAAATTGATGATGCTCCCGCCTAACCTTTTCCTTTGCTTTCTTTTTTTTCAGCACCTCTTCATTAAAATTAACAAACGCACATATACATGAACACTCACATACATAAATGGAACCCTCCATGAACAAAATGCAAACATACACACAGAGGGGAGGGGCAAAACAAAAAGCAGACCCACCAGCAGACCAATCACCTTGCCGCATGACCTCATGACCAGTCCTCTTCCCACTTCCAGTTGGATATCATTTTGGCCCAGCCACGTGTAAAAAGACAGCGCAGATCCCCAAAAATCAAAAGTTCTTTATTAGTAAAATAGCTGATCTTCTTGAGGGCAATGTAAAGAGTAATTTATTTAATCCAGTGTAAAATTCTACATGAAATTCTTCCATGAAAATGCAATAGCTTAGCTTCCAAAAAACAATCACTAAGTAGGGATCCAGAATTGTTTGAGATAACAAAGTCTTCAAGATAGACATTTAAGATGCACATTTTATGTTTAAAGGAAACTCCTTACCAATCATCACAGCCAACACAGCCTTCCAGAAAACTAATATGTGAGGACATGCCCACTCTGTATGTGGTCATGTCCTTTCTGGGAAGTACATTCAATGCAAATGTCAGGAATATTAGTGTTTAAGTGAAGTAATAACTGGAGTGACATATTGCCCAGTTAGCCACTGTACTGTAATAACTTGGAATTTATGTTGGCAGATTGAGTATGAATAAAAGCTCAACCCTCTGACCACTTCTGGCTTTCAGCTTTCTCCCAGATCTGTTACCCACGCTTGCAGAATGCTGCTTGAAGATTCGTTAACGTTTATTGAAAAACATCGAGTAAAGAGTAGACGCACCTGTCCTCTATCATCTAAGAGGTTCATCATGATGTCTTCTAATGAAGACAAAGAAGGTAGATCAAGATCATTTTGCTCCTGGGACAAAACAAAACTCCGAAGTCTGAATCAGAAGATAGCTGTAAAAATGTTTTTTAGGAATACAAAACATATTTGAAACAAAACTTCAGCTTGTTTTGAAGTTTTTCTAATGATATAAATACCCTCCCCGAATAGCGATCGGACACCTTGGTATACCAGAACTCAAAACCTGTGTCTGCTCGACCTGGTTGAAAATCGCTGTGTTGATGAATTGGTGAGAACTGGGATAGTTGACAGTTTTCCCCCCAAATAATCAATAAGTATATGGCCAGGTCATTCAGAGCTGTAGATAAAAGACAAACACAAGGACTGTCTGTGTGTTCAACTTAGATCTAATTTACTATTTACCGGTGTGGCTGATCTGTGTATTGTCTTGCTCTCTGAAGAAGACAATCTTGCCAATGGCCATGGTGGGGAGGATTCTGAGACAGGTATGGTCACACCTGTGAGATCACCTGCCACCAGCTACTGGAGCATCACAGAGGGACCCGACCATCCACTCCTCTCCCCAGCGCCCGGGCCCTCGGTACGCAAACCCAGGGTCCAGAGAGCGTCACGTCCAGGCCTGAGCAGGATTCCTGGCCGCGATCACCGCCGCTATTACCACGAATACTGGCGCAGCGAGTATTTGATGGACTTTGACCCCCAAAGGCACGGAATGATCTGCATGGTGTGCGGCAGCACGCTCGCAACCCTGAAGCTCAGTACCATCAAGAGACACATCAGGCAGAAGCACCCGGACTCTCTCCTGTGGAGTGCTGCAGACAAGGAGGTGATTCGCTCTGGCTGGGAGAGCCATCTGAGCCTGGGGGCAGGTCAGAGGTCTGCTGCTGGTCCCTCACTGCACGGAGAAGAGGACTCTATGCACTTTGGTCAGCATATAGGTGGTGAGTAGAGCGAGTTTTTGAGATCTCATATTCAGTGGGAATGTGTACTTGTTCTTCTCTACGCTGATGCCTCAAAACAGAATTTAGTGCAACAAGTTGACTTCAGAAATTACAGATTAGGAAACAACGTGAAGAAGAAAGCCAGAGCTACAAGGAATGATTGAGATAAAGCACATCCATATGTTAGACTGGCCCAGTCAAAGACCATAAACAAGTCCACATAATAATCTGTGACAAGACTTAAAACCTGCTGTTTACAGATGCTCTCCATCCAGCTGGACTGAGTTCAAGCTGCTTTGTGAAAAAGAATGAGCAACAGTCTTCATCCTTTGGTGTCAGAGCCTTTGGAAATAGACTTGCAGCGGCAATTGAACTGGAGATAAATCTCCAAGTACTGACTCAGGTAGACTGAACATAAGCACCTCCCCCCACATACATTACATTTTTTTAAATAAAAACCCCCACAAACATTTAAATTAGCATTCGTTTCATTTCATTGATTTAAAACCACACGTCTTTTTTCTTCTTGTTCATAATTGTGCGATTACAGAAAAGTGTGATCCAATTCATCAAAGTTTCCGGATGAAACATGACACCTACGCTTTGACAGGCATGCTGTTTTTCTGTTCAACAATAGCTGGCAGCAAAGGACCAAGAAAATATATACGTGTGCTGATGAGACGTTATCACGCATGAATCAAAACAAACATGAAACATTTTCACTCTTTGAAGAGACCCAGTGCCAGAAAAGTTTTGTTGTGGTTCTGTTAGAGTTCTGCTCAAACTGAACCAGCAGCTCTGTGGGGAGACTCACACTAACATAAGACATGATCTTTACAGTCTGAGCCTTCGGCGGGCGACTGGGCTGTTTGTGATATATATATATATTTTTTTTTTACAAACTATTCTGTTAGGATCAGCAGAACCCAACAATCTGCTATCTGACTTACTGCTTGAGTTTAGTGTTGAAGAGCAAAGGTACCAGTTTAACATCCCAGAGCAGCACATGAGCTGCTTTACACTTCAGTATCTGAACTCATCAAGCCTAACAATGGACCGGACTGTGTAAGACACAATCCTCTGATAACCGCTTTCTGCTTCTTTTTCTCAGGTCGTGCTCTAAACAGATGTTTTTTTATGTTTGTTTTGTCTTGATGTTCCAAAATACAATATACCCAGAAACTCCAGATCCAGTTCCACTGCAGGAGCACCAACAGCAGCCCGCCGCTTTGACCCCACGGACCACAGAGGACGAGAGCCTCCAGCCCCAAGAGGAGGAGCACGAGCTCCCCGGACCGTCGGCCCGGACCTTGGAGCGCTACCTGAATGACTCTCTGCACGCTTGGTTCCGCCAGGAGTTCCTGATGGAGTATGAGGCTGAGGCCGGCCGCCTGCTCTGCATGGTGTGTGGAGCAGTACTTCCCTCGCTCCACTTGGATCACATAAAGAGCCACGTTCTGGAAACCCATCCCAACTCTCTGGTTTACAGCTCAGAGGAGAAGCACTGCATCCTACAGGCCTGGGCCCAGACCCATGGTGAGAACATCAGCCGCTGTCGAGTCAATTTTATTTGTATGGCACATTTCAGCAACGAGGCAGTTCAGAGTGTTTTACATCACAGAATCAAACATACGACATGAGAACATTTTATTCTATGTTAGATTCACGTTTGCAATACACAACTGCTAAGGTACGGACGATTAATCTTACGATTTGCTTTCTCATCACTCCCTAATCACTTCATATCCTGATCAACATCACCATGGTAACACCTAGCCTCTGCTGTGTCCGAGAAAATGTTGTAGGGACAATGATTCAAAGGTTTGTTGCGTTTATGTCGGTAAAAATGCTCAAACCTATGGAGAGTCCTTTAAGTAGTGCATCATTCTGGGCAGAACCTGAATGCTGTTTGTCTGTTTTTCTGCTCTCTGCCAGGTGAACCAGACTCACTCAAGTCTGAACCAACACCCAACACCAAAGCAAAGGGGGCGGACATTTTCACAGAAGACCTTAAGACGGTTCCAATCAACGCTGACATGTTCCCAGAGGGCGACAGCACTTTAACTCAGGACATTCGTCTGATCGGTGAGGACGGAGGGGTCGGGGCCCCACGCCTGCCATCCCAGCCTCTCCGGCAGTCCAGGAAGAGGCGGCTGAGAGGGGGTGACCCCTGGCGACTCCGCCTCGACTATCTGGTAGCCTATGGGCCCCAAGACCAGGGCACTTTTTGCATGGTGTGTTCTCAGGTCTTGCATGAAAGCAAGGTGAGCAGCTTCCGCCGCCACATTCAGGAATGCCACCCTGAGACCACAACGCTGAGCCAACAAGAAAGAGAAGCAATGGCTGCTGCCTGGACCAAAGTCTCGTCTGCTGATGGAATGCAAATATCAGATGGTGAGAAACGTTTCTACATTGTTGTGCTTTATTCAGCAGTTGCTAAATCCTGATTATTACCAATAATTAGTATCATCCTGCCCTGCAGCCTTCATTAACTCTCACCTTTCTGTCTTGTAAACGATGCTTTACAAGACAGATGCTTGTTAAATACTGTGAATAATTAGTTATATAAATAATGTTTGTTGTCTTATATGCCAATGAAATAAATGTTTAGACCTAAGAGCTCAATGTTTAAAATCCTTTTATGATTTTTTTCACTCAAGAGACTTGACTTGAGTGATAACTAGGAAAGCACCGATATGAACATTTGGACTGATCCAAATTTTGATATCAGTATTGCTGCTTTGGAAATATTAACAGACCGGGTTCATATTAAATACCAGAGGATCATCAGCAGAACAATAATAATCCACCCCACTAATTATCATACAATTCATCAAGCAGTTACATATAAAACAAAGATTTGATCAAAGCTCCGAGTTCTGTAGAACTTTCTAACCAGGAATGCATTGGCCTCCACTTTGGTATCAGTCGATGTTAGTCATTGTTTTACACATTGATATCGGTCCGATAAGAAAACTGGGCCAATGCGACGTTAACAATGGATATTTATTTACATTGCATTGCTGTAAATAAATGTGGTTGTGGCAGTGATGCAGAGCAGGATTGTGCGAGTTCTTAACTCAAGAAGGGAGGCAATGTAGGCAAGGTGTGCTCATTTTTCACAGTGTAGAAAGGTAGAGAAAATACATAATATATACAATATCGGTAAAAAAAAAAATATCGACAGCAATATTATGAGATATCAGTACTGATGCATCCCCATTTCTAACAGTTGCATAAGGAAGATTTATCATACTACATTCATTATAGAAGTTAACTGAATCAAAATTGTCCTACATAAAGAAAATATATGTCAAATTTCAAATTCAAAACTTTCCTAACATGTTTCCTTGAACAATGAAATTCTTAGTTTCCTGGTCACACTGGATGGTTAAATTATAAAATGTCTGTAAATAGTAACACAGGCAAAAATACAATAAAAAAAGGAAAATAAACTTTACAAAAATATAAACTATGCAGAATATAGACCATGTAGATATTTTATGCAGATTAGCTGGTATATGCTGCAATCAGTGAAACAGTGAGGAGCAGTGATAACCTGTTGGAGAAGTGGAATCAGCTGCTGGTCTTTGTCCCTCCCTCTCTGTGTCTGTAGAACTGAACCCCAGTGAAGCTGTTGCCTTCAGTCCTACCAAAGGCAGAAATGAGGATTCCACTTCTGATGTCTGCGCTCCCCTCAACGCCGTGAACAGCAACGACAGCGAGACCGGAGGGAGGAGCAGATCTCAGGACTGTGGCGTTGCAGCCCCGGTCCCTCGCCACGGCCATTACCCCGGGAAGGACCAGAGGAGGAACTACCAGGTGCGCTGGCGAATGGAATACCTGATGGATTATGACTGCAGGAGACATGGCCTGATATGCATGGTGTGTGGAGCCACTCTGGCGACGCTGAAGGTCAGTACCATCAAGCGGCACATCCAGCAGGTTCATCCTCACTCCCTGCTGTATGGTGCTGAGGAGAAGGAGCAAGCCCTGCTGAGCTACAGCCAGACTGCCCTGCATTTTGTCCACTCTGATGACTGCTTCTCCTCCCAGGACCACGGACTCACACAGGACGCTGCCTCTCCTGCGCAGCTTGGCACTTAGAAAGGCCAAGCTGTGCAGGAGTCTGTTTTCTCCCCTGGCTTCTGTTCAGAAGCAACCCTCACTCTTCTGTTCCTAAACCATAAAAGTGGATGACTCTTCAGCTCACCTCTAGTGTGAAATCATAGCACGATTGTGTTACAGCAAGAAAGAGTGTGAGAGTAAGATTCAAGTTTACAAAAGCAGGATAACCTCTTTCAAATCCCCTTCAATTTATTTCTTAGTTTCTACTAAAAGGCTGAAAATGAAGCGACGTCAAAATGTCAAAGCTTCACAAATATTTAAAAGTCCAGTGACTCATTAAGAAGGAACAATGACACTTTATTTAGATTTCCTTTTTGGAAGCTACTGATGTCTTTGCACAAAATGAACCAAATCCTGCCAACATAGTGGATTATGTGCTACAACAGCTAACACATGAAAGCTACTATTAAGCCATGTGAGTCTGCCTTTTCCATATGATGGAATCCATAAATCAGTGCTGAGAACAGCATAAGAATGCAAAGCCATATTTCATAAGGAGTGAGGCTGAATTGGACTGAAGCAGGGCCTCAGGCAGAGGCTTTATGACGACAGGTTGAGAGTTTCGAGCTGGATGATTTCACTCAGCAGGTTGGATCGCTGAGGGGCAAAAAGATTGTTGACAGGACTCAAACATCTTTACATTTAGTTGAGACCTGCAGTCAGGACCATGTTGAGCCTATTAGAGCTCAATAAACCCGTGTTTATTTTATATTTCGTAACCTGGACCCACAGGACTGGCAGCATCACGATTAACGTCCAACTGTTAGCAATGAACTGAATTGAGCTGATGCTTTAAGTTAGAGAAAAATCCCTCAGGTCCAATATTCCCCATCAGACACTTCTGCCTGTTAAACTACTTTGTTCCAACATTTCTCTTTAATTAGCTACAAAAAGAGCAAAATAGTGTTTTTGTTGTAGGTTTCCTGTAACAGAGGAGACATTTTCACACAGGTCCTTTGCCAAGTTGTTACATTTATGTGGCCACATCACTGGCTCATCTGCTGGGTGTATTATTGCTGTAATGAATTATACCGGAATTGGTGACACTGTGATGACAACAGAGGCTAAGCTAAGAAGCCTAAAGGTTCAGAAATTTTTTTTCATACTTGCATTTACCAAGAATAATGTCAAAGAGCAGAGAAGTCTGACCACCTGTCAATCAAAATGGAGCAGGAGCTTCATACAGGTGAGGAGTCTGCAGGAGCAGCTTCCCAATAGGTGATTCCATGACAACCCTCTTTGTCTGAACACGCATTTATTTTTAAAGCGAAAATGTGTCAATTGTTCCACGATCCTCAGATTCAGGCTTCGCTGAACTATCATTTCGAAACACTGACATTTAATAGAAAATCATTTATATGGAACTTATTCTGCTGCACAGCCTGCGTCATGACACAGAAATGTAATGCTGCTTGATCTGGCCCCTCTGGGCTTAGTCTGGTACATATTAGACAAAAAATAATAAATCTTCCGTTAACATAAAACTACATGTCTTTGAAATGGACGCTAAATATGTTTGAAAGTGTTCGCATTCACTTAGATTATAAAATAGCTGAAAAAGAAATATTGGAATTTTCTAGGATTAATATGTTTGGGTGATTTTTTTTTCTTTTTTTTGTCAGCGATAATTTTTCACTACAAAGTTAAAGAACATTTCAGTGAAATTAAAGCAAAGCTGAAGAGGTGTCTCTTCCTCCATCATGGCTTTTCTCTGTCACAGAACAACCGCTCCATCCGGTCACTTTTTTAGATTTTGCCGCATTTAATTCACATTTTACCAGACAAATATTTAGTATTCACTGCTGCATCAAGATTCATAGAAATCATTTTGGTTTCCAGCAAATGGAAAATAAGCTGAGGTGACTAGCTTCTGTCTCAGTGTCGGCTTTAAGGATTCTGGCAGCTGGAATTGAACTGTTGTTAATGAGACAAACTTACAAATGAGTCTCTGGGCTTTAAAGGTTTTAGGGACACCATTGAATATTTATTCGTTCATACTTGGGCTTGTTTCTGGTCAGGGCCCAAGTCTTTTCTCAGGAAGCTAGAAACCGAGTGACAGACGAACACAACGCAGCACTTTGTCCCATAAGATCTTCTCAACTCCACCCTTATCTGTGTGCAGCCAGTAAAATGTTTGACGTTTTTGCTGATGACAATGAATGGAGCAGATGGAGCTTAGTCCTTGTTTACAAGTGCAGGTGAAGGATGTCCTCCTCAGTCGTCCGTTTTAATCTCAGTCTAGGTAATACATCACCATGCATTCTTCCCATCAGCAAAATCATCTTCCCTTAACACTGCACAAAAATGTGTAAATATCTGAAAGTGAGTTGTGTTTTTCCTTTGTATGAGCACTTTTTTTGCATCCTGGTTTCGGCAAAACATGTTTGTAACTTAAGTCCAGTTTTTCTACTTTATTCAAAATTGAACGATGAAGGCATGTTTTAACGCTGGAGAAATGCTTGTTAAATCCATGAATTCACTTTTGCAGACTTTGTTCCAGCTTCACCGTGTTTTGTTCCCCATTCAGTGTACACAGTTTATGCAACACATAAACTAGTTCTGTCATAGAGTGTCACTTCTTCTTCGTCTTTTTCCTCCTCTTCTCTTGGAAAACATATCTCAGGGATTCTGTTTGCATCAACACTTTAATCAGTGATTGTTTTTTTGTTTAGTTTTTTCTTCTAGGCTGATTGCTGTTGGACACTTCTGGAGTTTATGTGTTGGCTTCAGTTGTGTCACCGTCAAACATAAATACCACAGTGAATTAAAAGCTGTGTTTTAAAAGAACTGCAGCCAAACATTCTGATTAAAAAAATACACATTTCTGGAGAATAAATTAAAACTTACGATGTTAAAAAACCCTAATTTGAAGAGTTCATTTTAGTGACGCGACGATGTCAAAATACATTTCCCAACAGATTCCAATATGTTGAAAACTGACTAACATTGGCTGATACTAATGCTGATGTCAATATCCCTACTTGCTTCCATTTCTCCGACATCAAACCATCCTACCTTATTGATGCACAATATCAGGGTCAAAACAATGCATAGCAACAAGCTAAACGGCACAATGCTTTAAATGTGACCCTATGTAGTCTGAACTGTATCTCAGCCTTTGCCGTGACGGTGGGCTCATGACTCTGTGGTATTTATGTGGGACTGACATTCAAAAACAGTTGAGATGTCTTTAATGAAGGATAAAATCTTTAATCCAAAGCTAACGTACAGTGACACGACAGAACAGGCTCCATCTTTATGGCTCCTCGTCTCTGACATAAGCACTTAATTCATGAGATGATGAAGTGAGACATGATGCGTTGCTTGTGTGTATGCGTGTGTGTGTGTGTGTGCGTGTGTGTGTGTGTATGTATGTGTGTGTGAAAAGTGATTGCTCTGCCCCTTTCCAACAGGCCAATGTGTGAAATGTGCATCCTGTCATCAGTGAATAAAAACTCATTGATCCTCTAATCCTTTCTGAAGTGAGATTCTGCTTCTGTTGTTGTATTTTCTCTTTATTGGTATTTGAAGGCCAGTCAAAATCAGACAGTTCACATACTGTAGATATGTAGACCTGATTCTGGTTAATATGCAGGTCATGTGGAGGTCATGTGATCTGACCTCCAGATTTACCTTCACAGTCAGTGAAGGCAAATTTATCTTTTGAGTTCTGGAACATTTTATTTGGGACGAAACGATTAATCATGATGAATCGATGATTTAAATAATCGCCAATTAATTTAGTGATCATTAGTAGATTAACTGATTTAAAAAAAAGGCCATCTGCTGAAAGAACAGAAACTATTCTGAAACTGTACAGCAAGTAAATACATTTTGCATTTGAGATAATAGCACCATTATCTGTAATTATGCTCTACCAGAAATTGTCAACTGGCAGTTTTAGTCTCTCCTGGGTTTAACTCAGTAAAAAGTCTCCTATGATGTACATTTAGCTAATTATTGATCAATTAATCCCCTAAAAAATATTCAACATGTCAGCCCTCCGCTACTGATGTTCAGATCAGCAAAATAAGAGTCTTTTTTTTCTAGATTTTTTTTAGCTTCCTTTGTGACAAATAAGAGTTCGCTAAAGGAATGCTGTCATTGTATTTTAGGCAATAAAATGTGTTTCTTATTTAAAAAGGGAATTCAATTGTTTGTGTTATTTTTCATGTATTTCCAAGTATTTTACAAAATAAGCTTAAGTGGTGAAATGACAACTGTCAAAATAAGTGATTACTAATATTATCATTAGATGCACACCATAGGACAAAACTGAAGTTACTTTACCTTCAAAATGACACGTAGAACCGAGAAACTGTTTTCATATGCTCACTAATAAATAACATTAACATTAAGCACCATGGTCTAATGCAGGCCGGCGGTTGCTACGGAAATATCTGGAAAACATCAGGAATGTTGCAGACGTCATGGCTTTAGTTACAGGCACGTTGTGCAGATGTGACACAAACATGCGACAAAAACTTTATCCCAAGAATCTAAATGTTGCTGTGGCTCTTATGCATGGATTTTCAAAGAGCTTTTGAAGATGATGATGCTGTGAGCAGGAAGGATCTCCAGTTTATATACGAACACAGCACAGGGTCCAGAACACATGAATGGGTCCGACAAGAGTGGCTATCTGAATAACAAGTAGCATAAAACTAACTTTTATGTTGCTTTGACAAATCCTTTTTTCATTTTTTTCCCCTGGATCTTTAGGTCTATTTCAGAAATCCAATCAAATGAAATATGTAAATAAAAACTCTGCAGCAAATGTTAGGCTGTTCAACTTTTTAAAGATGAAACACATGAATCCCCAGTCTGACAGGTGAACATTTCAGTTCTCAACTCATTTTAAGCAGCAGTATAAATGTGAATGTGGCTTTTTATAATTCCAGCTTCAGAAATAAAAATCTTAAGTCCTCTTTCCCACTGAACAGATTTCAGGAGGTAGAGAATCCAAAGAGGTGAACAGATCCACAAAGAGCCGCAGACCTTTGAGTTGATTTTATTAATTATTTCACTTTGACATCAGTACAGAGACCACAAACATTTTTGCAGTTTTTTTTTTATTCCTGCAACATCTGTCCAAAAGCTTCATAAACTGGAACCAAAGTCATAACTGCTACAAAACCGAGTCGTTAGATCACAAAGTCCAAATACCAATTAGAGCTCAAGCCAAACGAGTCAGGAAGCAGAGTTCAGATCATTCCTGCCACTCTCTCCCATCACATAAACACACAAACAGGAAAAGGAGGGAGAATAAAACATGCTATGAGAAACTAGATTGAATTTCCTCTGCATCATATCCTACACACTAAAGAACTACACTCACTCTGTGATGTTCACCCTGGCAGCACCCTGACACCACCTGGATCGCTAAGAGGCTCAAACTGTACGACATTCAAATGAGCCAAGTGAATATTAATGGCTCGGCTGACATGGCCTCTGATGTCATCAGGCATGCAGATTCAATTTTAAAAATAAGACTTCCTGTACGTTTCCTTCGCTCCAGCTTCAACTTGAAACTGCTGATGACTTCTAAGGTTTATTAGGAAATCAGTGATTGGATGTTTCCTGGAGGACCCAGCGTTAATATTCATAGGCACTAGCTATAGCAAGAAAGACTGAAAAGATCTCTATTTTTATTTCATATTTTTATTGGCCATAATATTCATTTTAATCCATTCACTAGAACTAAAGTAAAAAAAAAATCTGAACAGCCAGACGTGAGAATTATTTTGTTTGGTAGTCTTGATTTCTTAAATCCTAAGTCCATAAAAGAAACATATGGTAAATATGTCCTGGAAACTAAATAACTTTCTAAAAAAAAACCCAAAACAAACGTAGCTTTATCTCTGATGACATTCAGTGTGCCTCCTGTGGGACAGAAGCGGCAGACACGAAGCGGTCGGTCGGCGAACTCTGACCTGTGCGGGTGAATCACACCGAGGTCATGCATAGGAGGGAGAGAGTTCAGCAGCCGTGTTGGAGCAGTGTCCATTCAGTACGCAGGGGAGACATGCAGACAGGACAGGACAGGACAGGTACAGGTGTGGCGTCGACTCACTATTCACATTTCTGTCCCTTAAAGTAACAGGAAGGTTGGACTGCAGGGGCCAACACGTCACTAATGTTTTAAATCAGGTTCAAAAGAACACCACAGAAACGATCACAAGTAGTAACCTTATTAAACAAAAGTCAGGATCAACAATATATTACAGGCTATTTAAGGGAGGGATGAAAACCTGTTCCAGCTTACGCTATGACATGCACTGTGGCTGTCAAAAAAACCCCAAAACAGAAGAGTTCTACAACAACCATTTCAGAAAGTGTTTCTATCATCTCCAGCTACTTTACTTAAAATTACACCTTCTAAAATAACAACGCTGATCTCATCTTACTTCCTCCTAGGTCAGAGGAACATTGTATGGAGTGTAAAATGTGTCAACATTATAACCTCTGCTTTTGAAGAGTAGATTTTAAAAAAAAGGGGGAAAAAAGGAAAAAATTAGAGAAATGATCACAGCACAAACTTCATTTTCACTTTTACATTCAATTTTAATTTCAGCCATTATTTTCCAGATGACAGCCTCCTTTGGCCTGTTGTCTAAAATTAAACTGAACAGCTTTCAAATTATTCAGATATTCTTATTTTGGCGAGACAATTCAAAGCATTCACATTTTACACTCAACACAACAGCAATCTGAGAAACCATGTGGGGATTAAAAGTTGAACACATCAGTGTGCCGCTTAACCTATCAGCTTGATTCTATAGGGGAGGACTCAAAGAACTACTGGTTAAAAAGAAGAAGCTCAGTAACACCTAACCGAAGTCTCACTAAGCCGTTATCGAGCTGGAGGGGAGTTCAAGCAGCCATCCTAGAGTTTATACAGGTAGCACTTCTAAGTAGTCATAATTAGAATCAAAATATACAAGTGAAAACAAGAGCCGAACACTTAGAGGACCGAGCAGGTGCAAAAACAGTCAAGACTACTATGATTGTAGGGGTGTGGGAGGGGTGTGTGTCTTCCTTCAGTATAAAAGCTTGGCCGATGTGTTCCACGGAGCAGAGAGCCTGTTGTTTCTCAGGGTTATTTACAAGAGCAGACGTTTTCAGAAAAACGCTTCAGAACATGATGAACTAGACCAAATTATCACAGCTGGTTCCGGGGGCTGGGGGAGCTACCTCCACCTGCCCAGGCTTCAGGGGCAGAGAAAAAAATCAGTGCATTGCAGAAAGGTTCAAACACTGCCTGTGACTGAAAAACAAACGGAAGAGTCAATCAGGAGGAGCAGAGCCAATCCCAGCTCCTGAAATGAATCCGCACAGAATGTAACATTGAGTAAACGGTGAGTACGGTGAGCCTGGCCACAGCTCCACAGAGTCTGGCTGCGTGGCCAGCTGGACACTCCTCGGTCTACCTGCAGGGAAGTGTGTGACTCCTGGGCAGACGGGTGTTGCTCGGAGGCAGCGCCCCGTCCGCCCTGACGCTCTGAACATGCTGGAACCAGGTCATAGATTCAGTCTAGTTCACTCAGGCCGGCCTTCCCCCTGCAGCTGGGAATGCTGCAGTGTCACACGACCTGCTCATAAGCAGAGGCTCTGCAGGCACGCCTCTGATTTTATGTTTGCAAGTTAAGCTGCGCAGTAGTTTTACATTGAACATTGAGTAGCTCTGAGATTTTCTATCTAGCACGTGTCTGTGTGAGTGTGTGTGTGTGAGAGGGCGTGTGTGTGTGTGTGTGTTGGGGGGGGCGGAGGTGAACACATCTGGGTTACTGAGGAGGAGCTGGGTGAGATGAAGGGTTGGTTTTTCCAGAGCGATGCAGATGAGGATGGAGATGACGTGTGGGATCATTCGGTTTTGGTGCGTTTCATTGCTCCCGGAAGTTTCTCTTGCAGTCTGGCAAAGAAAAGCAGAACAAGAATTACTCCAGATCAGATAGCATTAATGCACTATACAGAAAATACATGCTAGGCTAGTTGAACCTAATGAGATAAGACCATAAGGTAGGGGTGCACTGATCTGCTAATTCCAATTATTTTTTTTAACCTAAAAGATACTAAATATAGTGACTGAGTTGGTGACAGAGGTGTGACTATTGTAAATTGCAAATGTTCAGTCATGACCTGTGGGCAGCTGGTCAGTTCAGTTTACCGTAAAAATCTTGACGACTAAATAAACAGGAAGCAAAGCTGGGCCTCCAGTGCTGTTCAGTTGGTTTTTCCTGAATGTGTCTTCATCTGATTCCTGATGCGAGTGACGCATCATTAACAAGGACAGAGAGTACATCAGTAGGCTCTAATACAGACAAATCGTTTCCTTTCACTTACTTTGCAATTGTGTTGTTGACTTGGGTACGCACAAGATCGATGTAATGATCAATCTGGGTCTGCAAGAAAAAACAACCATCACATTTTTTTATTTAGTTTCTTGAAAAACAAACAAACAGTATGAGATCCCTCCACATGTAACTATTAAGAGTTTGATTTTCTGAAGAGAGATTCTGTAAACTACAGCCCTATATCTAGTCTTCCTTAGTAGTTGCTAATCAAGTGTGAGCATCTATCCAGTAATAACCCGTTTGAAGAGTTTAGTCATGTTTCATAGCACTGAAACAGAACCTGTGATGGTTACAAATGATACTCTCTTAGCCTCACATAGTGGACTTCTCTCTGTTCTGGTTTTGCTAGATCTGAGTGTTGTGTTTGACACAGTTGATCACAATATTCTCCTGAACATGTTGGTATGAAGGGAAAAGCACCAGACTGGTTTAAATCCCATCTGTCCCACAGATTCCAGTTTGTTCATGTGAATGAGAAATCTTCACTCTTGGGTTACCGGTGCAGCACCACAGGGCTCTGTGCTTAGATCGATTCAGGTTCATTTTATAAATAAATGGCAACTGTCCTTGCTTTAAGTATGACATATAGCTCTATGTGTAGTACTAGGCACCCTGCAGCTTTTAGATGCGTCTCTCATCAAACACACCTGAACGGCTCATTACCAGGTCTCTGTGGAGCTGAGTTACTCTTGGTGAGGGAATTCAGCCTTCTGACTCAGGCGTTTCAGACCAGGAATGGATCTAAAAGTTGCCGGTTGGTAACGCTCCGGGATTGGACCTGAACGCTCCGGGACTGGACCTGAGCGCTTCGGGACTGGACCTGAGCGCTCCCGGCAAACCCAAACTCATCATAATCTGACTGTGGCTGATGTTTTCATCCCAAGCTGACCAATAAACAGCCAGCAGCAGCAACTACAAGCATGAGCTCATTTCCCGTGATGTATGCGGCATTTCTGTGCAGACGCTAATGCCTGTGCGTTCTGACTCGAGAATGACATCATGCTCTCAGCAGCTGGACTGGGTCCACAGCGAGAGGGACGCAGAAAGCCTTCAGTGTCTGATGGAGGCTGGGAGTCATCCCGTGAGGTCACTGCTACTGCGTCTATCTGCTCTCATCTGACATGACTATAGTACGGCTTCAGGGTGGGGCTGACCTTGTTCTTCTCGTAGACTGGAGGTACAGCAAAGAGCAGGATATCCGCTGGAGAACAGAGAGAGAGTTCAACACCAAGACATTGATAGAGTTAAACATTATTCACCTGACAATGATCTAAAACTGCATTATAATGGGAATACAGTTAACCTGGTGAAACACAAACAATGTGTATGCACATATGCAAGGCCTTAAAGAGAATCAACCAGACCAAGCTCTTCAATTAAACTAATTATTGGTCATTGATGAGAGAACAGGAAAGGTTTCCATAGTGCTTACCCAGGATGAGGATGGTGATTCCATTAAAAACTGCTCCAACATAGGTCAACATCCACATGACCACAGCCAGCTGTAAACAAACAAACAACAAATGAAACATTTAGGAATCACTTTCATGTCACCTGAAGTCAGACGCTCCTTTCCTCCCACAGTGGATTTCATTTCACAGATGTCGCCTGCCGTACTCATGCTGTTCCAGGCCTTTACAAAACCATCACACAGACACTTTTTACACGAGACTTAAGCTGAATGTAAGCCACTGGTTCCACACCTCAACACGCCCAGAATCGGCTGCCTCTGGACCCGCCTGGGAGGCACAGCTGGACTGATTCCATGACTTGCTTGGAGAAAGTCACTCACGGCCATGTCGTGTGAATCTAAAAGCCAAACGCGTCTCGCTGGCTTTAAATGAATTCTTGTCATACGCCTAAATTAATAAACATAATCTGAACGAGACGGACGTTTTACCACAGAAAACCTGTTTGGGTAATAATGTTTAATCTCCAATTACTTCCACTAACTCATCAGCAGGTATGACAAAGAACTTGAAACAGGATGTTATATAATGATGATGGAAAAATGTGTTTATTTCACATGAAAGAAAAGAAATTGCAAGCAAAGAGAGGCAAAGGCCAGCTTTCCTCTGCCAATCCCAGGCAGACCATGTTAGCTGGGAGGAGTGTGGGATGTGTCAGATACCTGAACTGAATCACCTGAAGGTGAGAGCGCCTCTCCCAACAGACGGCTTCTGGTTTACAAAGCCGATCTACTCATCAACTGAGGTGGAGCTGGGAATGTGGATGAACCAGTGATTCATCAGCAGTTTCACCCACCGAGTGTCTGTAAGACCCTGCTTGGCTTGAAGCGGAGTACGATTGATACAAATTCAGGCTCACTGCAGTAGATCTGCACAGTTCACGCAGAACGTCTTGTCTCAGAGGTTAAAGGTCACAGATAATGTTAGAAGCAGTAACACCATGATCCAGTTTCCTAATGTCATGCAGCCCTCCTTGAAAGTATGTAATTACTGGACTGCAGACAATGGCTGCTTTCAGGTGTTACAGTTTGAATTGACAAAACCTGACTAAAGTATACTGTAAAATACAAGAATGTAAAATTTTTTCTTATTTCCCCACATCTTTCCAAAAATGTAGTTAAGTTTCAATTTATTGAACCTGGTGTACTAAAATAATAAAATATACAAAGAAAAGATGTTATCACCATGTTCCAATTACAAATGTGCAGAATAGGACTCAATATTGTCAGAATGTTGGAAATATGATTTTGCAATTGTGGGGTGGGAATAGGACATGTTAAGCCAAGTTAATGTGTTAATGGTCATGATAAGTCATTCAAAATCCTGGTGGAGGCGAATGCAAACGCCTGATTGAGCCATGGAGCCGTCGCCCCTCATCCATCACCCAATCAGAGGAGACGTCAGAGTCTCATTGAGGAACACGCTGAAGAAGTGTGGCTACGCAGGCTGTATGTTGTGGAAATTGTAGACAGTGATTTCACAGCAGAGCAAAACTTTTTATGGAGAAGTGTCAGTTTCTTTTTGAAGTTAAGAAAATTTAGCTTTGCAAGTTACCAGACAAGATCTAGCAAAAAAAATAAATAAATAAAAATAATGTGGTGCTTATTAAATGAATTTCTAGATGAGTTTCATTCAGCTTTGGATCTGGACACCAACACTACTATATAGAATATAAAAGCGCTAAAGTGTGCATCTCCACATCACTGTAACACAAACAGTCATATTCACAATGACATGTAACATCAAGAACAGCTCAACTGAACCTGTTATCCACCATAACAGTCATCCTCGTCCTTGGAGATTTTGTTTTTGACGCAAAACCTATTCCAGTAAAATGAACTCTTGCTGAGTAACTATAAAAAGGCTGCCCCTGTGAGACTGGCCTTGATGAGACAGAAGGGAAATGGATGTCTAAAAAATGATAGGGAAACGGACAGAACCCAGGATGACAGTGGGCAGTAGAGCTGCTGCTGCTGCTGCTGTTCACCTTTAGAGAATCCACAAGGTCCTCAACCAAAAACAGGCGGCTCATCTGCTTCAGGGCTCGGTTGATGTGGGTCAGACTGGTGTCCACGTGCTTGCGGAACGTCTCGGGAGGAATGGTGACATCCTTCTCTATCAGCTCTCTGCGGAAAAATTGGGAGGAGGAAAGAAAATGAGACCACAAAATGAGGCTGAGTGTTCAAGCAGAAAAGCAACAGATATCCAGAAATAACCAGCCAGTGGTGGGAAGGGTTTACACATGATGGCACGTTTAGCCCAAAAGCCTTGAACACAACTACTAAAAAAGGCATGTTTTGATGAACATGTTAATAGAGGCAGCAAATATGAGAAAATAGAGAAAATCTCAACAGAAGTTTTTGGTCTTACCTGAATGGGTGTCCCTCAGTAGACTTCTGCACAGCCTGGACCACAGACTTGTAGATGCGAAAGGTGATGGTGACACAGAGCAGGGCGAGCAGCATGTAGGAAATCACGCTGATGACGCTGAAGGCTGCCAGCGAGAGCAGCAGAAGCAGGGACAGGCCGAACACCACACCCGACTTCTTGGGGTCCCGCCAGTGGATCAGGTCATTAACTGTAGGAAAGTAACAGGTGGGGAGGAGGGGAGGGGTGTTAAACACTTTATGGTGTGACCTACTGCCCTAAACCTAAATATTAAAGGAGAGCTGTCCTGATCTGCTCTAAAACATCACATGGGGATCTTGGTAAATACATTTTGACTAAAATCAATATCAAATGCCTGACCAGTTCACACCCGTTTATATACTGTGTTGATTATGTGAAAACCTTGTGAGAAATGCAGCCGACCAAGATTTGAAACTCAAAGTGTATGTAAAATTACCCTTCAGTTACCCTAAACAAAAGCGTTACGCTAACCTTAACATACCATTATATTATTCTAAGAAAACCTCTATAGTACTCTAAACATGCCACTATATTAACATAAAGATACCACTATATCACCCTAAACACACCGCTACATTACCCTAAACATACCATTATTTTGACCTTACCCATGTGGTAATGTTGATCTCATAAATCTGAATTTTCTCCAACAATCCAAGTGTTTTTCACCCCACACAATGTTCTGAGTGAAGAAGCTGTATTGGCTGCTGCTCCTCCAGTCTGTGTCACATGACCTGCCCTGGCCCCCCATGTAAACTCAGTAACAGCTACATTCCACTAATTCAATTCTTTAAATCGAGTATGTACAGAACTACCTAGATTCACATGGAGATGTTTCAAGCAGATGTAAGAGTCATATCAAAACAAAAAGCAGGGATGCTGGTGTTAGCGCAGCTTTTGTGTAAAAACATTGCCACCAGAAGCAATAAGTGAGTTTATTAAAAATTGTAGGTGTGTGTTTTAAGTCACATAAATCTTTAGGAAAAATAAATAATTGAGTTGTGAACGCTTCAGGCGATGTGGTGTCAGAGTTGGAGCAGTATACCGAAGCTGCCGAAACTCATGAATGTCTCTACTGAGTTAGGACGGACAGCCTCAGTACTAACATGTAACAATGATGATGAGGTGTAATGTGTTATTTCATTGGGGGTTGTTATAAGCAAATCTCTAATAGGTAGAAAAGAATGTCTGATTTTCACACCCTGAATATTTTGCCACTATTCAGTTCTAATTTGCAACAGCAGGAGGGATTGTGTTCATGTAAGACCAGTCAGAAAAAACAAACAAACTTGAACTGTCTTTTTGCTGCTTAAATCTGCCCATCCCCTGGTGAAATTCAGATAAAGGTTATCTGAATTTCTCTGTATTCTAGTCTAACAACTCTCCACCCATGAAAGGGGTGGTGGTGTTTGAACCAGAGGTAAGTACACTCTGTATGACAAATACTGGCATCATGACCATGTTCCAAAATTATCATCTGCAGCCCAGAAGAGCTAAGGAGAGGAACATTGCTATTGATGTCTGGCTTGTGTTTAGAATAGAATAGAATATACTTTATTGATCCCCAATGGGAAATTGTTTATTCCTCGACAAGCTACTCCATCTAAGGTGTTAAATATTAATACAAATATAATCATAAGAGATAAAGTTGATACATTATTAGGCATACATGCATGTATGCCTAATAATGTAAGTAATACATTTGTGTGTTTACACACTTGGTGAGCAGTCCTACATGTAAAGGCTTTCCCTTTCAGTCACTCCTTCCCTGAATGTGGGGGAAAATTGTTTTAGACAAGGTTCTGTGGATGGTAGTAGAGAAACCACAAGGCCCAATGTCACTGGGGCTCCATGCAGCGATCTAAATCCTCAATCCCCTCCACCAAACCCCCCCCACCCCGCCTTCTGTCAGCCATATTATTCAGAACATTTCAGGAGTTTAGGCAGATTGTTGCAGCTTGGTACTGTGTGCATCTGAATAGAATACAGAACTCTAAGCTCTTCAGGACAACCAGTGGGATTTCGACAACAAATTAGGACACCAACTTTAAAAACTAATAAAGCCCCGGCACACGAAGTCCAGGTTCCTTTTAGTGTAGGATCTATGATGAGACAGAAAACTGAATCTGTACTGACATGAATTCACCAGAATTAACTTCATCAGTCTCTGAAATGAGAGTGGATAAATCATAACAGTAGTTAATAGATGAGGTTTAGTTTTTTCTGCTCTTTTTTCAAGTGAACCAAGTAAAGAAGCCCCTTTATGAGATTTATGTGTTTTTAAGGTTTCTGAAAGGTCTAAATGCTAAAACCAGAGTGTGCAGCAGCAGCTCTTAACTTTAGCCTCAGAGGAGAGAAGCTGCTAATCATCACCGTATTAATGTGATTTTAAAACAGATGATTATCCTAAAATGTGACTGAAGAACTTCAGACTGAATTAACCTCTTGGAAAAAAAACTGCCTTCAAGAAAAATAAAATTTACTTAAAAAAAGAAAATAAAAGAAAAAAAAAAGAAGTCACATTTACATTTTGTCAGGGAACAACAATGAAAAGGTTTTCTTCAGCCGGTACTGTAGGGGTTACGGGTCTCCTCCCAGCATGCTCTGCTCTGTGTACCCACAGGGAAGCAGTCCAGGTTCTTTGATCCTTATTCTTCTTTCCCTCTCACCCTCACACTGCTGAGGCACAGCGGCCTACTTTCACAAGAGTTCTCTTAAATATAGAAACTCACATAAACATCGCTGCGGCCCTCTGTGTAATAAAAACGGAGTCAAAATCAACCACATACACAATGGGAAAAATGACCATCTCTCTGCCGCCTCCTGCCAGTACTGACTGCAGGTTTGCTTTTGCAGGATTTTTTGAGATTCACTCATTTCAAAGTAGCATTTCAAAGAATTTTTACTGATTCATTCGATTGTCTATTGGATGGAGATTAGATAACAGATGGTTCGCATTGACGTAACAATCAATCAGACTGCATTGTGGCTCTGGATCACTTCGCTTCTTCGCCATTTCACGTCGCTATTTCACAACAATCTTTTCACAATGTCACTGTTTCCATTATAAACCTATAGACAAACCATTTTCTGCCAAATAGAGTTGGGAGACCTGGCCCATAAAAATTTGTGCAATATGTACTTTTTTGTACTGATCGGTTTCAATTCTTCTTTCAGATCTTCAGCTTGCTCTGTTGTGTGATAATATTGACAGCAGTGAACTGAATGCAAACTGGACGGTTTTGGTCAATGCAGTTATCACCTGTAAAAATGGATATAATCAAATCCTTGAACTATAACAATGACAACATAAAACCCAGCACCAGCACCCAAAGCTGCTGTTCCTCTACAAAACTTGGAAAAAACAGAAGACCCAAAATCCTGAAGCTCGGCTACAGATGACATCTCCTTTATCTACTGCTCCCTGACTGCAGGCGGCCCCGCCCACAGATGCATGCTGGGTGAGCTCTTGGGTTGCACGTTTCGTCCCCTGAATGTCAGGATTACCGTCTGTATACCAGCTGGTGTGCGTGTGTGTCTGTAGGAAGAATGAATATAACATTTACTACCGTCAAATATTTTGTGTGAAAACTGGGCTGATCTGAGTAACCATGGAAACAAATGCATGTCAAACCGCTCTCACGCTGATGAAACAGACATGCAGCAAACAAGATCCAACTAAAGGAGTTGGCAGCGTCCATCACCTTAGATGGCATCTTGTTGAAACCCAAGTATAAAATGACGGCACCAAAATAACTTTGCACCAGGGCGGCTAGCTGGCAAGCTGCGCTCTTCACTTTGATTTTCTGCATCGTGTGTCCGCTCTAAGTGTGCTGTGGCCAGAAACCTGACCTGGGGATTGACTGTTCTGTGTGACGTTCAGGGTTCTGGACAAACACTGGGCCACCATATTTACGCCCTAACTCGCCGTCTGGTGGGGAACCACTGACTAGCTCAAAGGACAGAGGGCAGGGGAGGGTCACCGGCTCAACTTTCTGAGGATCATATGCAGCTTTGAACTACGGCTGCTTGCAAGTTAAGCCCGTCACATCAGCCTTTTTAATTTAAATATTTGTGTGGATACTGATTTAATAATGAATACAAAAGAAAATACACATGCTTTTCTACAGTCTAGGTGAGTAAGTGTAATACTGTGTACTACTCTAAATAACTTTAGTAGTAAGTTCAGTTTTTATACTTTTGATTGGTATCTTGTTATGTGGAAATAGCTTTTTGTATAGAACAACTACAGCTTACTAAATGCACTAAAATTGTCTAACAAATGCATTCCTGCACTGTGGTCTTTGGAGCTGCACAAGTACAGTCATGAAGGGTTGCTTAACAGTCTGGGCCCTGTTCATGCTAGCTTGTTAGCATGATGTTCATGGAATATGTTGTCAATTAAACAGCTTCAATAAAAAAAAAAAAAAAAAAAAGTGTTTTATCTCCAATAGGTTTTCATCAAAATGAATACTTATATTTACTGTGTAGTCAACCAGTGCAGTAAATGTTTATTGCATTTACACACAAAAACATTTTTTTAACCCAACTGCAAACGTTCAACATGAAACAGTGAGTATAACGTTTCACATCAAATCTTATGGAGGAATTTTTCTGCCACAACTCGGCGCACATTCAGTCTGAAAGCAGGATTTTATGTCTTGTCTTTCTTCTTTTACAAGAAAGACAAGGTCCTCTTTTGTTTCAATATGTTTTTTATAAAACATATTTAAAAAAATCGAATATTCAAATTCTATATGCGAGTGTGGGTCTGTCAAAGCACATGTTAAACTAAGCAGAGAATTCCTGTTTGAGCGTCCCACTGTGGGAAGTGCATGGGGTTAGCAGGCCTACTGCCCAGAGGGAAGGAATGTTACCTGATAAGTGGGTTAGTATTGCTGTCAAGACATGCTCTGCAAGATGGTAGGCTTCAGCTACCCATTCGTCAATAGCTTCCACATCACTGGAATACATGCCGTCAGACGCACGGTTGGTTTGGGAACAAGGAGGTTTGGAGTCTGATGGTTGTGTGAGGCTAAAATCTGACTTTGGCTGATTCGTCTCAGAGACTTTATGCTGAGGATTCACAGTCTCCTCCTTTTCCTCTTGGCTGTTGCCCAGATCTTTGAGAGCACTGATTGTAAGGTGTTCTTGTTCAAAATCCATAACCAAGCTTGGAGAAGTCTTGGGGAGAGGAGAAGTCTTGAGAGGCTCAAGCTCCTGGTGGACACTGTCAGCTTCCTCATCCTGCTTTGATTTCAGACACTCTCTCATGAACTCCACAAAACTATCCATAGGCTCAGAAGGTGGGCAGCCACCGTCAGTTCTGTTTTTCATCTCATTTATGTTGTGACCAGTTTCAGGGTTATGCTGAATGTGTGAAGCTGATTTCTGAGATGGGAGCATGTTGTCATTTTCCACATTTTCTGAATTAGTGGTCTTCTTATTGACCGCCTGTTCAGCAGTGCTGCTCACGGTCTTGCTCTGGAAACAGGAATATGGGTTTTCAGGATAATCTTCTAAAGATGGCTGACTATCCGATTTGGGGATGTCATCACCATTCAGTGAAATGGCGCTGTCTAGATCCTGTTTGTCTTCAGCATCATCAGTGTGAGCTGGATCAGACAGAAAACGTTCCTTTGCATTGTTGAACTTCTTAACATCAGTGCGATCCAGGGAAGAGCTGATATCAAAGTCATAATCAAACGACTGTCTATCATAGATGTCATCCTGCATGAAACTGGACATAGGAGGAGGAGTGGGTTTTATGTACGCCTCTTCTGCTGTTGAACTGCGATTTTCATTGACTGCAGGTTCATTGGAAGGAGCTGATTCTTTTGACGATGGATCAGTCATTGGGGGTTTGAACAGAATTTCCTGGGTTTCATCTGACCAATCATCATCATTGTCTGGAAAATCCACTTCTTCATTTTCAACAACAAATGGGGACTTTTCATTGACAATTTCATTTGACATGGTGTGGGACTGGTCAGGTTGCAGGTCCGCTGAGTCCGCTGGATTGGGACAGACCTCTGATTTTAAGGTAGATGCTTTATTGTCTTTTTCAGAGCTAGAGTTGAGGATCTTGTGTTTTGGGGAGTATTCAGACTCAGAGTCCACAGGTGAAGAAGGAGGCGAGTAGCCTTCCATGAACTCTGTTTCTAACGGCCGTGCCCTGGGGCCTGTGTTTTCAGCACTCTGTGGGTCTGGTTCAGAGGGGTTTGGGGGTCCTGTGTCTGGGCTTTTTACTACCTCATAGTCATCATCTTCCTCTGCCTCAAGTTCCATCTCCTCTTCACTATAATTGGGCTCATCAGTCTCAATCACATTTATGGTTGGAACCTGCATTAGCTTTCTCTCAAGCCTTGGTGGAGGAGTCTCTTTCTCTTCAGTGGAAAGATCAGCAGTGTTGCAGGGAGGGGTTGTGGTGTCATCATTAGAACTTTGAGCCAAAGACTGAGATGGAGCAGACTCACATTCAGCTATATGATCTTCAATTACCGTATCATCGGACTCTCCTGAACTGTCACCTTCATTTGCTTCTGGCTGTTCCAATTCGCCAGCCCAAATTGCTTTTTTCTCATCAGAAACATTCTGATGAACATCAGGTAAAACTGTGGGGGATGATGAAGGAGATGTGGGACCAAACTCTGCAGGAGGTGCAGGTGAAGCTGTAATCACCAAATCTAGATTAGATGGATCCTCCACACTTGATTTTTCTTGATGATCCCACATGTAAGCTGTTGGCAAAAAGTTAACGTCAAACTCTTCAACCTCTGTTTTTTTGGGTTCCCCTTCAAGCTGATCGTTTTGTTTTGGAACTTCAACAGGATGATCCATGAAAGCATCAGGAACAACAGCAAAAGCAGCAGGCATATCCCCGTCGATCCCCTTCACTGAGACTGTGTTAGTGCTTTTAATTAAACCAACAGTATCAAAATCTGGTACTGGAGGTAAGTGTGTCTTCATCCATTGCTCTGTCTCTTCAAAGTCAACAACTTGCTTTAGGTCTCCCAGGATTTCAAATGGTGACTCTGGTGATTCCTGATCAACAGAATGTTCTGCTTTCTGAGGTGTCTGTATAATCTTTTCAGGAGGAAGTTTGGGAACTTCAGCTGGAGATTTGGGACCCACAACTGCAGATTTGAGGGACTCTGCTGTAGATTTAGAGCCTTCAGTGGGAGATATGGACCCCTCGGGTGTAAATTTTGACCGTTTGGTGGGCGATTGGGGCCCCTCGGTTACAGACTTGGGTCCATCAGGTACAGCTTTGGAACCTTCAGTGGAAAATTTGAGCACTTCAGGTGCAGATTTCTCCTGATGTCGGTCCCTGAAATGAGTGAACGTTCCATTGCCTCTAAAATCAGGTTCTTTCTTTTTGGCTGCAAGAGCTTCTAGTGCCTTAATGCGTTCTGAAACAGGAGACACCTTTATTGGAGAATCCTGTTGTCCATCTGTTGGAGATGTGTCACTACTGTAACTACTGGGTGAGAAGGAGCCTGGTTGGGAAGAAAAGCGTAGCGATGTAGCTACACCTTCAGTGGACTTGTCAGAACTCTGGACCCCTCTCTTGTCTGCATTGTTATGAAGAGGTGGTAGTGAAAAGGACAAAAGTGGGGAGATTGAGTCACTACCACTAAGTTTCCATGCACTTCTATTACTATTAGGCTATGCCTTAAGGTAGCAGCCCAAGCATTCATGCATTGCATCATGAAAATGTGAGAAAAAAATGTCATAGTGATGGTTCTTTCAATCTTGCATGCTTCTCTTAATTACTTAGGATCTAAACTAAGCATCATGAAGCAGTCAATCTGGAAACTTATCAGATCTGTCCAGAGCAAAAGAAGGCAAAGGAAATAAATCTCACTAATGAACAGTGTAGCTATGCAATTATTTGCAGCAAATGTATGTAGCTGGATACAGTATATAGTTGCAGGCTGGAACAGTTTCTTTTTGACTGTGTTTTGACTTTTCTTTAGCTTTGCTATGTAGTTAAAACAGAATGTAAAAACCAAAGTTATACTCAGGCATCCTCTGCCATACAGGGACTCAAAACATTAACAATGGCATGTTTAACCTTTTAATCCATTTGCAAATATTAAATCTATTTACATTCATAAATAAAGTGTCATCCTGTCTAGAATAATGTGTAGATTTTATTTATGACGGCTCTGGCGCAAAATGTTTCATTTCTGCTGAATATACACAATGCAAATCATTTAGCAGCATAACACAATATAACTAGGTTCTAAAAGACGATCACTGAAATCTATCCAGTCAGCCATTCCAAAGAAATCCCTGTAAGCATGTTTGTCTTTATGAGTTGATTTGTGACACCATATCACAACTTTCAACCAGTCCAATTTTTAAATGACTTCATCCTCAGGTTAAAGATAGTGGGAGTGACAAATGTGAGTGTGAGGTCCGATTTATATCCTAAGCCTTAATCCAATTAAATATCAAATACTGATAATCCAGCAAATGTATTTTAATACAGATCAAATACAATCAAACTTATATTACTGTTGAGTTTTATGCAATTGTAATAGAATACAGCCATGTTCAGTCCATTTACATTGTGCCAAACAGTAAAAAAGGAAACTTCATACCAACATCAACCCAAGTCAGATGGGATAAACAGAAAGTCAGTGACTGATTTGCTAAGCTGGCAACTCTTTAGCTGTCAGACATACGTCATCTTTAGTTTCCTATTTACTTTCCTGAGGAAACTATGATATAGGGGCGGTGCATTAGTTATATACAAAAGGGCTGACGGTATTTTATTTGATTATGTTTGGGACCGGATTAGCAGATAGAAATAAACCAGGTCAAAGAGCAACTGTTTTGTAAAAATAAAGTATGTAGCACAATTAGCAATGCTGAGGAGATTTGGGGTCCTTGGTTTGTAACATTTAAATGTGGCTTTAAATGTTGACCAATTGCACAGCACAAACATTAACTACCCGTGTATGGTCAGACATGGAGCACAACTGACTGCTTCACTTTGTCTTGAATTGGACCACCACCTCCTCTGCCTCACAATACAATGCCTTGTTCAAACTAGGCCACAAGCACAGACTTTCCATCTGACCGACAGTGTTGTGGTCTTTGGCTCTGTACTTGTAAACACATTCCCAAACAGTTAGTCCTGTGACAATACATTCATAGCACTAGAGCTATTCAACCAATGATAGTAATGATGATGTTAATAATGGCAAGTCAGGATTTTCTTCAGAAATAAGGTTGAGCAGAATCACTGAGTAATTGGGCACATTAACAAGGTGACTAGTTCATCAACTGTAAGTATATTTAAGAGTAAAGAAAGCCTTTATCTACCTCCAGATTAACACAGACAAAAATATTTTCATCTCCATTGGTGGAAGATTAAAATCAGCCAATACTGATATGCTTATAGCCAGAGAAAACTCTGGTTACTTCAGCTTATCCTATGTTCAAAATGAACTTTAAACTGTTGGAACTGTAATGAATTATTTTAGCTGTTTGGTTTTTTGAACTGAGGTTCTGTGACTTTATTGTCAGTAACCGTCCCTTACCTGTATATACATAATATAATATTCAGCTTTTAGGGGGTGACATAAATGTTGAGATCTGGGAGCTAACAAGCCAGTTAGACATATTCAGTCAGTTTTAGCCGAATTTAGTTTAAAAAAAATTTTTTAAAGCTCAAAAAGAAAGTTTTCACATTAACAGGAGCAGAAACAATTTCACTGCTAGATCAACCAGTGATCAGTTTGTTCAGGTTCTGCCAAGAACAACATAAACTTTTGAACTTTCCATCAGCTGTGCTGCAGCACTGAAGATGGTGTCAAGTCAGCAGTGCGTCTCCTGAGCTTCTTAACTTCAACCACTCTGAAGTTCGTGCAAATTTTCTAAGATAGTTAAGGGAACCATTACCGATTTCTTCAGAAGACAGAAAAGAAAAGAAAAAAAATAGAATCAGGACCAACCCTTTAAAACCATGACATGCATTAATACTACGCCTGTATGCCAAAAGATGTGTGTAAAGAAAATGTTGCAAACTAGACTAACACTTTCTGTTATGCAGCGTTACTTTTTGGGCAGGACACAAACTCAGATCCCATGATGCATAATGCTGAAGCATTTAACTAGCTACTCAAAAATCTAAAAGTTTTAGTTATTCCAATTTTTCTCAAAGAATTCCATCTTTTCTAAATGGAAGAATTTACACTCCCTGATTAAATGATTAGACTAATTAAACAATATAGATTTCTCCTGGTGATTGTGACCAAACGGTCTTTACAAAAGCTATAATGTGTTGAAACACTGCAGCTACATCCCTGAAAGGACCTGGTGAAGTTGACCGACTGCAAGTTGTCCCATCTACTTGTTTTGATGTTGCTTTACCCATACATGATAGGAAAATATCAAAATAGGTTGTTTGATATTCAAACTGGCCCATTTACATTTGGCCATATGACTGGTTCACATTGCTGTTCCCAAGCCACATAATCATGTCAAAACTTTATTTCTGAAATACTTCTTGGTTTTTAAAATCAATAAAATTCAACAAGATGGTGCCTTTCTGGAGTGCTTTCCACAGCTTTACTATGGCTTAAAAAACATGGCAGCTCTAGAATGACGACAATCCACAGGTCAAAAAGAGGCTGTAAAACAAAATAAAGCAGAACTATACAAAGAAAACCTGCTTTGAATGTTTTATGGTTTAAGACATGCACAAACCCTACTGAGCCATAAGCAACTACGAGGATGCAACATGAGTGAGGAGCAACAGGCAATGGAAGGCCCGGACCACTAGGTGGTGGATGATATCTCCAGTGCCACTCGTCCTCTGGAGACACAGCTGATGCTGGGGGAGGGGGATTCAGATACTAGGGCAGCTGGCAGGTAGAACCAACCTCCCGGGACACAAACCTGATCTACTTTTAGGTTTCTGCACACAATGTGAACTTGAACTTCTATGCTTTCTTAAAATAAGGTAGCAATCTTGGGATTATCCTGAACTTGCAGTCAGTGATGCTGACCTAAATAATGCCTGCTAGCAGCTGGTAAACTGTAATGGATTAGGATCCTGGCATCACAAGAAGCCAAGTTTTCCAGGTGTAATGCTCAGGGTCTAAAGACTGGAGTTAGGTGAGCTAAAGTAAATGGTGAGCCATCAGTTGGACAGAGAAGGTAATGCTGCTGGTTTGAAAAAAAAATTGTTTAAAGACATGTTATAAAGATAAAGTTATTTAAAAGACATAAATGTCTTTAAAGGCTTTTTGGTAGAGCTACTGCAGCTCAGGACACAGCCATGCATAGATGCACATCTTGCAAGCCCAAAAATAAACAGCCAATGAAACCTGTCAAAGGTCGAGCTGGCTGTTTTGGGCACTAGCCGGGAAGGTTACATATCTAGTTGCAACAGAGGAGAGACGCTGCAAAAATGACCAGAGCTGCAAGTCCCAGAAAAGTTGGAGAAACATCGTTATCTGGTCAACTAGAGTTAAGCGTCAGCAGTGCTGGAAACATAGGTGAAAAACCAGAAAGAGGGGCTGGTAAGGACTAGTTGAGGTAAGGAAGCAGCTGTGGCCAGGGTGGAAGCCGCTATTTTTAACCAACTGTTTTGGGGCATTTTTACACACAGCCTTGCGAGCAGGAGAGGGGCACTAGATAGAAGGATGGAGAGCAGTAAAGCAACAGGCCAGCAAAAGAAAACAATATCGAGGAATAGAGCAGGTGAGCAGCATTAAAGAATCCATACACTTGCCTTGAGGAGACTGAATGAGAGATACAGGCGAAGAGGAAAGAAAGGAATCTGAAAAGATGGGGAAAAAAGGACAGAAGAATGATCATAATAGAAGAAAAGAATTTGTTGCTGCTGAAACCCACCCAAATAAAGACATTCAAATCAAGAGGGAGAAGTTAACTTATTCAAAGTTAACTAAATGCTCTAGAACTTAAATCTAAGAGTGAAAAAGAGTAATGTTAAACAAAAACCATCCATGCATTTGTTTCTTATCTAGAGCTGTAAATGCAAAAACCAACCCTGTACATAAAAGATAAGAACAAAACCAACTGCTCTTCTTTTACAGTTTGCATCACTACTGCAAAACGCAAGACAACGTTCCTGGTGAATGTTGTCAGAATGTTGGTGGAATTCTGAGGATTCTGCATGACTTCTGAGGTGAACAGAAATTAAAATGAAAGGAAATAAGAATATTGCCATTTTTTTCCTTCAGACAAACAAGGAAAAAGTTTACAAAGCATTAGACCCAAAGCTGCAAAAACAGGAGATGCATAATGACAGATGGAAAAGCTGGAATTATGTTGAGGAGGAAAGGGAAGACAATCTTCAATAAACCTGACAATATCTAATGGATAAAAACTATAGTTTTTAATTCTGGTAAATATTGTCAGAGATCATGAAAACTACCAGCTGATGGATACTGTTATTCAACCATACAAGACATTATCCAGACTAACTATTACTGAGGCAGCCACTAATTCAGCACTTTAACACTATGCTTCCTTGCATAAAACAGTTCAATAAAGAAACCATGTGGACCATCCTGAGGAAGAAGTCCAACACCACACCTCCTGTCAATATAAAAGGAAGCCATTAGGTTTGTAGAACTTTCCTCTGTCTGAAGATTGGCAACTGTGGGAATTTTTCTCCTAAAGAGAGGGTGTGGTGTTACCCATCGTGTTGCTCAGCTCAAGTGGGAGTTGGCTGAGACCAGGCAGGTTAGGCCTGGAGCAACAACATTCCTTCAATCAAATTCAGCAAACCACTCCTTCACTTTCTACTCACAATGCAATGTCTCAACCTTACATATATGGAAAAGCAAAGACAAGCACAACTCCATTCATTATGTTTGAACCACGTCTTGCTCGTGGTGTGTCCATATACAAATGTTGTCAAGACTGACTTTTAAATTCTGATGGTCAGAAAACACATGAGACAGTGACAGGCGTCCCGTTGCTGGCTGTGAACTGCAGCATCGTGTTCTCTGACATTTCCCTGACGCCCTGCAGAGTCCAGCTGTGGATTGTCTGACAGGTTCCATCAGTTCTTGGTCGACAGTGGCTGTCATCATGGACTACTTCACTCCAATTACTAAAAGAAACCTTTTCCATACATTCTGAATAATTGTCAGACCATATGTTTGTATAATTCCCAGTGTCACAACTCTTCTAACAAGCACTTGATTTCATCTGGAGTCAACAAAAATACATCTTGCAGTTTTCACTTTGACTAGTGAGAAAAAGAAAGGAGTTTTGAATTTCTGAACAGTCAGGAAAAGCACCATCACTAAGTGGCTGGGACACTCAAGTAACACTCTTCAGAGTGAACGTTGTTGTTGAGGGGAAAATGGGTGTAAGAAGCTAAAGGAAGGAAACTTCTCTCTCACACCACATAATGTTGCCATTTAAATGATGAGCCTTCAGCACAGGAAACCTTCAGTAAAGATACAGACAATATTTTAAAACATTGAAATTTAAGCATTAGCTTTTTCTTTTTAAATTTCAAGTTGGATGATGTTGATTGGATCCTGTAAGGAAAAAAAGCGGCTTTGTTACCTCACGGTGATTTGAAAAATACATCACTTTATTTTAAATACTGGTAAATTTTTAATTCATCTTAGAAGTAGAAAGATAATTCAGAATAATCTGACATTTGTACTGCTAGATAAAAACTGAGTGTTCCTCTAATACAGTTCATGCTTTTCCCAAGTGAATGAAAAACACATTGACATAAATTTACTATGCAAAGTAATAAAACTCTTGCTGAAACTAGATTTTAGCACACCTGAGGTTTCTCTTTAAAAACCCACCATATGTATGTTTTCAAGCTAAAACTTAAACAATGACCTAGAAAGACTGGCGTTTTAGAAATGAGTGATTCACAGAATAAGGAAATATTGATTTATTATATTACAGAAGTCTAGTTTGAGGAAAGAGATGAGCAAGAACTGGGTGAAACGGACCAGATTTCTATTTCCTGCTGAGATCTGCTGGTTTACTAAACAGCACTGTTGTGTGGCAAGTCAGTTATGGAAAATTCATTTGTCACTGGGGCCTTACAGTAGGCATCCACAGCATACTGTAGAAACAAAGGGGAGAGTGAATGCAGGGTCCATCCCCTGTCGTTGCTGTAGATCCTCCATTCGGCTTTATGACCTCAGTGACATGATGCGCTCCAGCATGGACTGCAGAGAGGAGGGTCAGCTTGGCAACACATGAAGAGATGGAGGAGCTGGTTCATTAACTAGAGTAATGACCAACCAAAAAGGAAAGTAATGAGCAAGTGTGGATGGGAAGCTTTGGGAGAGATGATCAAACTGAAAGACGTAGCTCAAAAACTGAAATTGTGAACTATTATTGAAACGTTTTTTTCCACATGAACAAAGGAGAGGAGTAATTCAAGCAGGAACCGGCAATATCTAAAACATCTCAAAGTTTTACTGATACAATTTTCTTAGACGACTTATAAGATAAGGAGATTTACTAAATCTGATAAAACACAGTAATGCACTAACAGCCTATCTGATGTAATGTAGTTTGAGAAATGAGGGCCTGATTAGGAAGTGTGCCACTTCCTTGGTGGCTGCCCTCGTTGGCTCATACAGAGACTGCTGGAAATGTGAGGGCCAAGCCATCTGGTAGTTGGACTAAAACTAAACCTAGTAAAGATCACCATGAGGAACCCGTCACCGGTTGGTCAGAGTCGTACACAACACCACAGCAAGGTCTCTGGCAAAAAGAAGAGCTCTGCTATGAGCCGATACGACGTATGAGCAATGCAGAGGAGCTGATGGTGGAATTCACATCCGTTGAAGCAGATCAATAATCACTGCTGAATAAGCAGGAGGAAGCACGTGTCAAAAATTTGAAAATTGTCAAATTCACTTCTATCATTGACTTGCAGCACTGACTTGCTACGTTCTCACACTGTCACTTGTGTTGAGTCGCTGAATTAGCAGCAATCCCTCATACCGAGAATGAACATGGCGAAAAACCGTTTGCCGGCCAATTCAGCACAGGAACACTATGGTCACCAGTTGTTTTGGTTTTTTGGATGTAGCTACCAGCCCAGTCATACAGATGGCTTTTACAAACATCTGAGAGAATGGCTCGCTATCAGGAGTTCAGTGGACTCTGTTGTGCCAAGTCATAACATTTCCTCACTAACAAATATTTTACAGCCAACCTTTTGAGGTATTATAACAAAAGTGTGAACAACAGCAACTCAGCCAAGGGAGACATGTGTCAGGTCTGTTATAAAACAGGACAGTTATTCAAATAGCATGAGTGATCATGGTTGCAAAGCTCAGGCCTTCCCTTACATTAACACAAACCATCCCCTGTACAGGGCCATTTTACATGAAAATATAATGCAATAACAGAGGGGGCGGTTTTAAGAAGAAAGGGAAAAAAAAGAAAACAGGCCTGCAGGTATAGACATTCACATTCAGAGTGCAGAGCGGTAAGAGCACAGGAGGGAAAAAAACAAAGCAGCACCTTTGAACCTAATAAAAATAGCATAAGTAGAAATACTAAATGTATAGAAGGCAAAAATATATTGTGTAGCAAATTATACAACTTGAAGTTGAAGGGGTATGCATTAAAACAACAACAAAGTGATAGTTTGTCTCTCATTACAAACTGCAGAGCCCAACTACGATAATAAATAAAGAAAACTGGAACCATGGACAGAAATCTGCAGTCTGTTCTGATTATTTTGAAATCTAGAGAAAGCAGTTCATTCTTTACATGAACTGCAGACGACACTGACAGTTGTTACATATTTGTGTAACAACAATTCATACTAATCAGTAATAGAACATCCTGTTACTAAACATAAATATTAATAGCAGCAATAAGGTCCTGGCTTTGAATTCCAACCAGACTTCATGTTCTCCCAGTGTATGTATGGGTTCTCTCTGGGTACTCTGGCTTCATCACACAACCCAAAAATATGCATGCTGAGTCAGTTCATCTTAAGTTTGAGATGTCTGTCTATGTGGCTATACTGTGGACTGGTTTTCTGTGCAGGGTGTCCCCCACCCTTTGTCCAATGACAGATGAAGACAGAACAACTGAGGATCATTGTGAATTAGAATAAAATATACATTCACAAATGTCAGCACAAAACTGACTGCATGACTGTTTAGAACCAGAAAGTCTTTATTCAGTCTGTGCTGAATAAAAAATTAAATAAAAACGATTTTTTTTTTTTGTTCAACTACATAAGCTTCACCACAAGCTGATTATCTTTTCTTACTGCTTGTAGAATACTGTTTAGTCTGGTCCATTATAAAAAATAAAAAAAAAAACCTCAAAAGTCTGATTTTCTTTTCTGGTCACAATACACACACACATATATATAGTTTGGATAATTTTATTGTTTAAATCTAACATGAGAAGCATGGGGAGCAGGTGTGGATGTGCTATTAGCCTTCTGGAAGTCCATGAGGGAACGATCTTTATTTTCTGGGGAATACACAACAGACATGTCTGCTTCACTCAAGAAAAGTGAAAATGTCAGCTCTGAATATACTTTGTTTTAAATGAAGAGAAAATGGCTGTTTACATGTGCTTCTACAAGGCATGATGTCACATCTGTTCCTAATCTAAATAATGACTGAGCGGTCAGAACATATATTTTTAACACAAATTCTACTGACACTGAACACAGAGAATGAAGTAGATGAATTCTCCAAGTCACACGAATCAGTTTTAGGACCTAATCTATTGTTTTCTTACTACATCCTGACCCATTGTACCCAAATACAGACTTGTTGAAGCTAGGTTATTAGCTGCCTGTTTTCTTAAATATTTACGCTTTTTGTTGCATGTCACTTGTACTGAACCCAAATCAACGCGCTTGAGAATGAGTGTGCATACATTTTCATCGAGTTCGTGTCAAGCAGTTTTCTTTCCAATGGTTCGACGACCCTTAAAACCAAAGAAGCAAGTCATCATCATGCCACACCCTGCTGCACTGCTCTGCCATCCAAACACCGTTGAGATGAGATTCTTTCTAATGTTGAGTCCCTCTTGATCTCAGCCTCGGGGTGTGCAGTTTAAATCAGAGATCTTAGCAAATGCAAGCACAGTGATGGAGAAGCAGCCACTCCCACGGACACAATGAGCTGTCAGTCAGTGCCAGAGAAAAATACGCATCCCTTGCTTTTGGGCTCCTCTGGACGGAGTGACGTGAACCGAACTCATGTCTTATACATGGAAAACAAGATGGTAAAACATTTACTTCTTTGGGTGTCAGAACACAAATAGAAGAACCATCGATGCGCCTTTAAGAGGGCGCTCCCTTCACAGGCAGTTACTCAGTAACAATACATCTGCAGTGCAGAGCAGCGCCACAAACCTTATTCTAGAAATTGTCAAGTTATATATTAGTTAACCCACCCACCCACCAACAACTTGCATAGAGAAATATGACGCAAACGTGGAATGCCACGTGTTGGGATTCATATTCCAATTCGGCTGGCGTCGTAGAAACCAAGCGTCGAGCATTTTTTCCTCACATCTCTCCTTTTGTGTTTGATGCCAGCCTCCTTTGGAGCTGGGACCAGCAGGCTCTGCCAGCCCGCAGGTCTGGCTGTCGTAATGCAGGTCTCCATTAGCGAGAGGTAGAACGTAGTCTCCCATTAAATGGTTCACCTCGTTTTCCGCCGTAAAAGTGTTTCAAAGTGTGACATAAAAGTAACAGGACTGTGCGAGGGGTTTCCCTGTAAAAACGACTCCGGGGCGTCAAGTCCGGAGGCCGTAGCTACAGCCTGCACTGAAGATGGCGTCCGATTCAGAGCTGCGAGTAAAAGGCTATTTCGGTGCTTTAAAAAATAATCTGGAATACATGCGAGCATGTAAGATTATTTAATAGCACGCTCTGTAAAATGCACAAGGTCTTTTATTTATTGTTTTAAATGTTCCTGATTTAATTCGGACAACTTAGGCAAGTGAAGGGCACCGCATTAGCCAGTGTCTTGAAGAGAAAAACTGGAAGTTATATAGAGAAAAATCGGCTAAATCAGTGTGGGTTGATCAATCGCTAAACTAAAAACTATGTCACCGTGCCGAATATGGAACTACGAATCGGATGCTGACTTCAGCACATTAATCATATGGCGAGCACGCGTCGCGGCAGGTATGTTAACAATCACAGGTGTTCCTCACAGCACACAACCCAGCTAAAATAGACACACAGACGGATATAAGCGCTTAATGTGCTGAAGGGTCAATATTGATTTAGTGATATGCAGTTAAGTCAAAACATATGCCAGTAGACAGCTTAGCTGAATTCAAATAGCACACCTTACATTTTCAATAAGTTAAAATGCAGGAATCTAACGTATGTGTTAGTTAAGTCTTACCGGACAGTTTTGATTCTTTGGCCGCAGAATTCTGTCCATCCGTTAAACCTTGCGACGATGATATCTGGGAGGACTGAGTATCCATTTTAATGAAGCTCAACACACAAGCAGAACCGTGGCAGTGAAATGTCTGTTGTCTAAGGTGAAAAGAGAAGCTTCCTGTCCTTTTTTTAATTTTTTTTAATGTATATGTATTGTGAGCCCTGTCCCCAAGAGCGGGTCTCTGCTCCGCACCTCACCACTACGTCTGAGCTCTGAGGAAAGAGCGCAGAGTAAGAAGGAAACAAGGCAGATGAAAATTATGGAGGAGGGGTAAAAAAAAAAAAGAAGAAGAAGAAAAACATGTCGGCCGAGATGCATTCAATGTCTCCCATCAAGCTCCACTTGTCTCATGTGTTATCTTGAATATTGCGGTTTTGATGTTGTAGAGCAGAACATCGTGTGATGTTAATAATTACTGTGACTGAAAACTTGTGTATTCTTATTTGACATGCATTCTAAAACTTCTTCAGATTAACCAATGTTTTATGGAGCTCAAATTTTCGACACCAAGGAAACGCAACATAGAGAATATTCTTGAACAAGATTGTCAGCTGTAGAAGATATCCATAATAACGGGTTTTAAAATGGACAGCCTGGTCCGAATAAAATCTGTTTTGTATTTTAGACGTCAGACAGACGACAGGATACATTTTAACCTAATATCAAAGTGTACCATATGAACATAATTTATAATAAGCTTTACTGATACATTTTATTAGCATGAAAAAAAGAATTTTCAGTCATGGGGCTGTGAATCATATGTAAAAGTGCATACATTTTCATGTAAGTCTGTTACCCATTATGTAATGTTTACCTTTATTCTATTTTGAAGCTATTTATGTCATAATAGCCCCATGCTGCCCCCTACTGTGTGTTACCTCTACCCACTCAGAAAAACTACATTTCCCGAGACAAGCATGGGGGACCAGAGCTAAGATTTACAAACATAGGGATAGGCCCCGTCGCAGTTCATTTACGTGACATGGAGCGCGCGCCGTATTGTATAGAGATCTTCTAAGATTCGCTGACGTGATGAGTCGTAAGCACTCTGAGTAATTTTCGGGCAGACTAAAGTGCGCGGTAAAAGAAGAGGGACACAAACAAAAACATGTGGCTTCCTCTATGAGAACACGGGTGAGTAAGGTCTTAAAACAGAGCTAATACCGACACTTGATAATAGCTCTCTAAGTTACTCTAGCGGCCCAGTGTGATAATGTATTTCACTAAATGATGAGGAGGATGCAAGTGATCCCAAAGATTAGTTTAGCTAACTAGCAGCCTGGTAGCTTGTTAGCTGGTTTCGAGCTGTGTAGCTACTGTTTGTCCAGCAGCTGTTATTCCTTTTTTACTTGTATAGTGCGCGTCCTGCTTTGGACTGCTTGTATGGGTTGCCTCCTGACTGGAAGAAAAAAGTTTTAATAAAAAAGAAGCAGTAAGCTTAAAGTGATCAATGACTCAAGCGAGTAAAGTTAGCTAGTTAGCCGACGTCAGTCGGCTAGTCTGGTAAACACACTTATCTAACGGGTTACGTCGGTTTGTAATGAACGTCCCCGTGTGCGTCGTTAATAATCCGAAAATGCTGTGGTAAAGCAATCTGTCTTCGGAGTCTAAATAGGTTATGATTGTCGGCTCGGCGCTGAGTGGTTGAGTGTAGCGGTGGGGGTGCCCCGCCCACCACTGCACTGTTACATCTCCAGCCAGCTGCGCTCGTAGAAGCTGGGTTATACAACGAGCAGAGCAGCCTGGGCTAGGACCAGTTTAGTTCATTTTATTATGTAGAGGTGGAAGCTTTGTTTACCACTGCTGGCTTATTTAAAAAGAAGCCAGTATAGTTTTCAACAATATGTTTTCATTGTGGCTCGGTAATAATGGGTAAATGAGGCGTCATGAAGCCTATCTGCCCATAGCTAAACTGGATTGATACTGTGTCGATACTGTGACACTGAATACTGACACCTGCTGGACATTAAAAACCCCTGCAGGTCACTGATTTGATGACTAGTCTATACAATAAAATTGAAGTCATTGTATTTTGTTGTATATTATCTGTTGTATTATGTCGTATCTTCAGTTCAATTCAAAATATACTTGATATTCTTAGATATAGTCAATAAATAATGTACCATAAAGTAAAAATTCAAGCGAATGTGTTTGGAATGAGGATGTTTGTGGACTTTTTTTTTTTCAAAATAAGTTTTTCCAACATTTTGAGTTACGCTTTTTTGACACAACTACTCCTGCTGTAAAAAAAAATGAAGTAAACAATACATTTATATGAAATAATTTATACAAAGCAACTGAGTAATTTGTAGAATGGCATGTATACCTGAGTTTATCCTCGGTGTATCTGGGATTCATTCTGATGCCTGGCCCCTTTAATGCCTCAGCACTGAGGGGGTGGATTTATATAAATAAGACAGTTCTGTCAAACATATGCAACACTTAACCTGCAGAACATAATATGAATGTGAACTAAGAGTCAATTTCAGCTGAAGTTGGTTTCAGACAGATCAAGTAGAAACCGGAAAGAACCGGATGAAACAACAACAAAGTGATAAGACCTTATTTTCTGATGTAATATTAAAATGGTCCCAAACTACGAAACCTTTCATTTGCTGTGCATGTTTCACCATTCAGCTTGCGCTCCTAATTTTTATAATATTCAGCTTTTTATTAATTTTTTACCCCACGGGGGAAACCGCTCCATCCTGTGGCAGAATTGAGAATTACAATATAAAATGTCAGTTGTGTTTCACAGTGGATGTTTTATTTCCTGCCTATTAATGGCAATCAATCATCCAGTTTCAGGGCTGATGGAGGACACAAGGCAGAGGCCATTTTGAAGTTGGGCAGTTTAACAACTTTTATTTTTAGTTTAACACCTGGGAATAATTTGAGCTTTTGACATTGGCTTTTTTGCGCTCCATGTAGGATGATTTTTGTAGTCACCGTGCTAAACAACGCCTCCAAACAAGTGTTGATATCTCAGAAACCATAAAAGGTTTGGATTTCATTCACCCACCGTTTTTATCAGAAGGAGTAGGGGAACGTTTCTGTCTTTTTCAAATTTTAGGTTTTACATGAGCTTTTTACATTGCATAGAATACATTACTGTAACTCTACATGCAAGTGGAAGCCTAGATGCAAACAACCAATAGTATTTTAGTTACTCTTAGCCTTTTATATAATTTTACCTTATAAACTGCGGTGACCCTACAGTTTAGGTTTGGAACCACTGTTCTCCAGCAATTTCTAATACTGTTTAGGTGGAACTTTTCCATTATTCAAAAGCTTTTACTCCGGATGCAGTTTTTCTATTATAATAATTCCATTTCGGCACTTTGCAGGATTATAATTTATTCTGGTGCGTCTGCTTATTTTTTGCATTCCTGCAAGTCTTCAGCAGTTGATTTCAAGTGTTTTGGCATCTTTGACAAAAGCATTCAGAATTCAGACTTGCATTTTTGCAGGAAATTAACACTTTCTAGTTATTTATTGTGGTTTCTTCTATTTGCAGCTTACAGTAGCTGAAGCATTCTTTGCCCCTGTAATTCTTCACATTCCCGTGTTTGGGATTGTTATGGTGATTTTAAATTCATGCATGTTTTATGTTCAGGTTGGTTTGGAGAATGTCCCGGTACATTTCTCCATCCGTCCTCCCGGCAGGTATATGAACTCTCCTCACCCTGATGCTCCTTTCACTTCTAGCATAGTGCGTTTTGGATGATGTGCAGAAACATTCATCCTTGGAGCAGTTTGTGCATTAATACCAAGAGTTCAGTTTTTGGCCTCATCTGATCCAACTCTGTTCTCCCAGTGTTTCACTGGTGGTCAACGCGTATCTATCATCAACCTGCTTTTTTCTTTAACAGTGGAGTTTTGAGCAGTGAGTACAGAAGCCATTGTTTTCAAGGGAAATACTGTGGCTTGCAATTTCTTTGTAAGCGTTTTGGCAAATAACAGAAAGATATTTACTGAGAAAAATGTTAAATTTTTGATTGGTTGCTTCAAGGCCCCAGGTGGAATATGAGATGAAAGGGGTTTTAGAATACCCAGATTTATATTCACAAACAGATAATATTTTTTATGATAGTTGCTATTTAAAACTATGAACAAATGTCTTTTGTAAATAAGACAGTGAGCTCGGTTTAATTCTGTTTTCTGTGTAAAAATGTTGTGCGTGTTTTCCCTCTGCAGGGTCACTGTGAGCTGAGGATGTGGATTGACTTGACTTCTTGCTAATATTCCCACTGTAAGACGCTGATCTAAGTTCAGACCGGAAGCCAGGATCATCATGGGTTTGCACTCATCACAGAAGAAGTTCTTCCCCCTCAGGGGGATCGATGGCGTGGTCCAGCTGTTTGATTCAGAGCTCCGCAAGTCAGAACCAGACCTGGCTCTGCTCTCACTGGTCCTGGGTTTTGTTGAGCACTTTCTGGCTGTGAACAGGGTCGTCCCCATAAACGTTCCAGGGGTCCGCTTCGAGCCGCTAGAGCCGGACTGCCCCACGTCCTGCTTCCCCACGGTGGAGCTGGGAATGATTTCTGCACTGTACGAACGTTTCACAGCTCAGATCCGCGGCGCCGTGGACCTGTCCCAGTACCGCAGAACTGCATCCGGGTCCAGCAGAGAGCTGGTGAAGAAAGTGTCAGACGTCATCTGGAACAGTCTCAGTCGGTCGTATTTTAAGGACCGGGCTCACATCCAGTCCCTGTTCAGCCTCATCACAGGTACAGCCTTCAAAGGTCAATCTAAAGAGGAAGCTCTTCTGGGATGTACTCTGGTGGGGAATGGAGGAAAGGAAAAACCTGTGGTTTGATTTATTTCTATTATTATTTGAAAAAATCCCTTGTACTAGTGCATCTTAGGTCAATATCAGTCATGTCTTTCACTAATTTAGTTCACCCATTGTTCAATAAATCAAATCTTACTTACAGAGTACTTTTCGTACAGTCTGGTGTAACACTCAGCTTTAGAGGTTCATTCCACACTATGTTGTATTTATTTCACTGAATTTCGATGATAACAACCCAAAGTTCAGTTTCTAATAAGTTAGAATATTGCATCTGATCCAATAAGGGATGTTCTGTTATAGAACTGCGGGCCCATTGTTAACCAACAGAACATCAGGACAGTACGTTCTGATGTTCTGGGAAAGTTAAGCACTTTGTGGGAAAGTGCTTTAATTTCCCACAAAGCACCCTATCATGGATTCAATGAGCTTGAGAATCTAGCAAATTAATTCAAAGTAGTATTGCA